GGCTTCCAAGTTGAGAAGAAGGAGCACTCGATGGGGATTTGGGCCACCCGTGACAGTCTCAATCAGATTCCCATCACCTCGGAAATGAAAAAGCTTGTGTTGGAAGCTCTGGACTTTGCGGACGGCGTACGAAAAGCACTTTCACGAGAAGGAAAGCATCTGTCTACAAGACGAAAGTACGGAGTCAGGAACGTTTGAAGTCCGGCTCTAGGTGACTTGCGACACGAGCAGTCTTCTGAACGAACAGAGCTACGTGCTTCGCGATTTTGGACTTCGACAAGCATCTACCTTCTATTCACTAATACACGAAGCTATGTTGCCATCGAAATTTCCTTCCTAACAAACCATCGACAAAGATTCCTCAACGTGCTTCCACTCCTTCACATCCGGCTGCCATCTGAACATCCTGCCGGACACATCCCCTTCGCGACTGAAGCGCACTTCGCGTCTCGACATGCGTGACCACTGTTCCGTATCGTCCCCTTCGTTCACGTTTTCCGCCTCAATCGCCACATTTTTCAGTGCGACATTGTGAAAAGCCCTACTGTCCCAAAGCCCGTCTCGACGGTGATACTTGCCAAGCAGCTCTGTCGCCTCTCGTCTCACGCTGTCTTCTCGGCATCGACACGCGACAATCAACAACGGCAGAGTAGGACCGTTGTCCATACTGAAAGTCTCGGTGCATCCGCCGCAGTTTTGTTGCGCCGACAGAACGATGCGACTGAGCTGGACCATTTCGCGGAATGATGGCGTCATCATGATCATCATCTTGATATCCTTGTAGCTCAGACTTGAGACATCGGTCCAGAGAGTGAGGTACTGTACGCGCAAGTTACAGGCGTCCACATAGGCGTGAAAATTGTGTTCCTGGTTCGCCTTTAGGGTGTCGTAGACACCTTGAAAGGCATTTTGCCAACGTCGTAGATGGCCAAGGAACTCAGGAAGCACAGCGGCCAGATCATCCAGGTGACTCGGAGATAGATCTGGCCGTACGTAACTGCCCACCAGCATCTCCTTCGAAAGTCCGTCGACAAACATTTCCGTGTAGATGGGACATCTATGACACGTGTAATGCTGCACGACCCTCCACCAACGCCGTGCCATGTGGACATCTGTGAAGACGGTCGGCATCTCCTCGACCGCATAAGTACGTTTGCTGCCCCGACAACACCAGCTGATTTGCGAAGCATCCTTGGTGTGCAGCACGTTGTGCGACCAAGCCTGCATCGTCAGACCCTGAAACACCCACGCAGCATCGTCGCACACTGCACGAATGGAGTCCGTCACAGGACCGTCCTCGACCAAAGAGCGCTGGTTGAAGTAGGTCTCCATCATCTTGTAAGCATGATTCACATGCGACAGTGCTGCGTTGCGGTCGCCGTGGAGACACTCGAACGTGACGAAGAGCACGCAGCAGACGATGGCCCAGAGCATGTTCTCGCTCGACGGTTGAGAGCTGCGAACGAGCTTAATCGCGCGGCCGTATTGCTGTAGAGCGAACTCATAGTGCGGTCCGTTGGCGTGGAGCTCCTTCCTGGACCGCCTGATGAGCGATGGAACGAGGGCGCGGGCCATCCCAGCCATGGCGAGGGCTGCATGCTTGATGGCTGGCTCGCGGCGCGCGAGCTGCGGGACGACACGGACCATGATGTCGTTGGGGAAGAGATAGATATTAGCCACGAGATGCTGCCAAAAGTCAAAGTAGACCTTCTCCTGCGGGTTGCTGAAGAATGCGGACTCATAGCCGGGTTCCCTGAGGACAGCAGCAGGCCAGACCCGCCAAGTTCCCTTGGAGATGATTAGACGTGGCTGGGCATGACGATCTGGCTGTTTCTGCTGGAATTCATAACCTTCACATACGCCAGGCCCTCGAGGCGACTTGGTGCATTTCAGACAAAAGGGGCGAGTTTCATCGCATTTGATGTGTCGCCGTCTAGAAGTCAGGTCAGCGTCAATAGGACATGGGGCCAAAACGGTGCAGCAACTTACTTGCACGTAATGCAACCCGACCGCACTTTGCCTGCACAACTTCGCTTCACTCGTGGTCGCTTCCCCAGAGAAAACGTAGCCATCTGGGGAGACATTCCCGGGACTCTGCAGACCAATGTTAGACGAGCACGACGTTACGTTGGCACATGTGGCGTAATTACCTCTTCTTCCCGCGCCTCACGGTCGGCAGCGGGGCAAGCCCATCCGCCGGGTCCGGACTCGACGACATGGAGTCGGAGCTCGATGCAGCGGGCTTTGGTTGCAAATGCGAAGCGTCCATTTCGAGGAAAACATGTAAGATTGGAACTTGCGTAAGCTTCGATGGGGGAGAAACCGTTTTAAACCAAACCCCAAGTTGCCGCTGCCTGCTGGATATCACTCCGAAGTTCCGGCTATCGTCTGGGATTTGACCGACTAGCGCTGTAGGGCAGAATCCTTCGAAGGATCGCCGGTCACTCCCCAAGCTCCCGTCTCAAAATCTCACCTGGGACAGGGGCTCTAGTATATCCCACTTGGCCGATATTGATCGACCAACGAACCTTAAGAGGAGAATTGTCTAAGGACGGCTTACATGTGCCCGCAACACAGCGAATTTGCCATGACTATGCCAAGTGGTCTAGACTCGATGCGACCAAGGGATGCCCAAAGCAGCACACGGTAATTCTGATAGCCAATCATACGATTGAGCGCCGTCTTTGAGACTTCCTCAGCCACAAAGGATCTCCTACTTTGACGGAACGAATCTCCCCATTGAAAGGGAGAATGTGGTGGCTGCTGCAGAAGCTAGGTATCCCCGATCGTGACAGGAAGATTGCAACCAATCACCGTTCTTGACCGTTCGGCCCCAGCCGCCTTTGAGTTTACGACATCGGATATCTCGCCGCCATCACTCATCAACACATATCTGGGAAAGATGGAGAATAGATTAATAATTAATCGAGGCAATCAGACTTCTTGTATCATTGAACATTCAATAGGCATCACGATGAACCCATAGCCAAACCTGTAGATGGCAAGGGGATGCGACGGAACTGCCGACACTTCCTTAGCATCTCCGCTCTATCTCGGCATTGTTTCTAAATGCGAGCTTTCCCCAGGGACCGAAAATATCAAAAACGCATGCGCTCAGTTTCTATTGATAAGTCGTGTCAGAATCTGATGGCGAAGAACACAAAGGGTGCCTCTGCGCCGCTGAGAAGGCGGATCCGTGGAGCTCGGTTTCGTCTGCAACTCACCTGTTTGAGACGAGCGAACTCAGAATGATGTCAAGAGAACTCAAAAGGCTCAAGGACATTTCTTGCCCCACACACGAGCATGAAACAAGTAAGAAGAGATTTCAATTGCACTGAGCCTGACTTCGACACCTCGATGCCATTCCCGAAGTATTCTTCCTCACGAGATCGATCAGCAGGCTCAAAAGAGACTATGCATAGCCAAAAGATGCATCTAGAGGTTCGGCGATGTGCCGAGACCGACATCCCCCGCGTCTTCGAGATAGTTTCCCTGGCCTTTGCCAACGACCACGAATTTGTCGACGCAGTCTTCCCTGAGCACAGCACGTCCGAAGGCCGCAAATTGGGTAGCGAGCGTATGCTTGCTATGTTTCATCGGGATCCTTATAGCATCTTCCTGAAGTGCATCGACACGACCACTGGCCAGATTGTGGCGGCTGCAAAGTGGAACGTCTACAAGGGCGGCCCTGTCCCGCCGCTGCCTGAGCTTGTCGGTGACTACTGGAAGAACGATGAGGAGAAGAGATTTGCACAAGCTATCTCTCGTGGCTTTCTTGCGCCGAGACAACGAGCTATCGAGGAGAGCGGCGCAAGATTAGTTGGTACGTTGGAGAAGCTCGTACCTTACCTGATTTACTTGAAAATCTGAAGCTAATCTTTGGTTCTTTTCCGCGAGCTATAGCACTCGATATGTTGATGTGTGATCCTCAGTTCCAGAGCCAGGGAGCGGGGAGACTACTAGTAAGAGCCGGCCTTGCTATTGCTGATGAGATGGGTGTCGATGTAAGTCGAGGCTTGACTTTCTAGTGTTGTCCCATCAAGAAAAGACTGGAGGCTGATTTTATGATACAGGCGGTTGTAGAGGGTTCGGATCGAGGGAGAAGACTTTACGCATCGGAGGGCTTTGATGGCTCCCATTATGTATGTCCCGTACCTGATGAGTTCGCCGCACGGCGTAAACAAACCTACTGGTGGATGAGGCGACCCAAGACCAGTATCTAAGAGATTCACATGAACTTAAGCTTCATGTATTCTCAATGATCATCGATAATGGTCGGGGCTAAGACCTTTGATAAAGCTCGGGATGATCCAACGACTGGAAGCGCCAATCTTTGTGATGCGAGTAGCAATTTGCCAATGTCTTCATGCTGCTTCAACTTTCAAGGAGTCGCCCACGTGCGTTTAGGAGCTCCTGTTACATCAAACTTGTCTGTGCCGGCGACCCTGATCAGCGGTCTTCATGAGCAACGGTGTCAACTCATTCATATTGCAACCTAATTGGAGTTACCTACGGATACTGTGGCTAGAATAAGTACGTCTACTCACATTGCATGCCTAACGCGGTCCTCTTATCAATATTGCGACTGAGCGACCCCGTGCATTCTGGTTGTGGCCCAACGAATGCCGATCATATGTCAAGTTCGTAAGTGTTATTGGGTAGTTGCAATTCGTCACTCGCCGTAAGCTGCATCGATGCGAGGGTAGCATGCATAGAGGCCGGGTTGGCAGAGCCTGCTTCTGGGAACGAATCCGGGAATATATTGAGTTCACCTCCGTTCTCTTTGATCCAATCCGTTCATTTCCATTACTCTTTTTTTGATTAAGTGTTGGGAGTCCTCCAGGTTCTCGGTGTATCGTTGCTGCCACATGAACTATCGCTCCGTTTTCAAAGGGCTGTGAGATCCTTGACCTGCTCTCTTGAAGGTCTTTCGAAGATATTCCTTGAGGCAGCACGGCCTTGCATAAACGCATATACGCTTCGTACCGCCTGTCGTCAATATGGCTTCCGACCTAGAGGAGGCAAAGACTCACCTCAGAGAACACGGATGGGTTCGTGTCCCGTCGGTTCTCACAACAGAAGAGGCTGCTGGCGTACTTGACCGGCTATGGAAGGCAAAAGCAGCGGCTGAAGCTCGTGGCGAGGACACATACCTGTCGTTCCTGGACCCCAACCCCAGCAACGTGCGGGTGTTCTACTTGCTAGAGCTCGACAAGATCTTCCGTGAGCTCATTGCTCACCCGACTGCCATCTCCATGGTCAAGGCCGTACTGGGGGAGAACTTCCTCATCAGCAACTTCACTGCAAACATTGCCCGACCCGGATCGCAGAGTATGGCCTTGCATTCGGACCAGAGTATCGTCTTTCCCGATCCGTGGCAGAACGTCTGGGCGCTCAATGTCATCTGGTGTCTGACGGATGTCAACAAGGAGAACGGTGCAACCCAATACATACCCGGATCGAATAAGTGGGTTTATCGCAAGGAGGTGCCCGATAATGCGCCAGAGATACTAGTCTCTTTCGAAGGTAAGGCCGGCGATATCATTGTCATGGACGGTCGTGTGTGGCACACCTCTGGTAGCAACATCACCGAGGATCAGGATCGGGCACTTCTGTTTGGATATTACACCGCACCATTCATGCGTCAACAGGTCAACTGGACAGCCAAACTTCCCAAGGAAGTTCAGGATACCTGTAGCGAGGAGCTGAAGGAGTGGCTTGGCCTCAATCCTGTAGGGAATATTGGCATGACGGGAGATCTGAGGTATATGTCGGTGCAGTACCCTGACGATAAGAAGAAGGCACGCGAGACGGTTGCGGCTGGTTGACTCCGCAAGTCCAGGCGGTTTAGCTTTTCCATATTTGTCATGCCGGCCACAGAATCTATTTTAATCAATCTTCACAAAGGAAAACATGCCTCGGTAGAACGGTGCTTGCCGAAACTTCATGACATTTTAATACAAAGATGTATAGTGCATTATCGACGCTATATCGGCAATCACTCTGTTATCATTTCGTTATCTTTGTTACGCATTGTGCTTCCTCAAATGCTACGTTAGTGGACGAGCCATGGTCTTCAACATTCGTCTCCTAGGTAATAAGCGTAATATGTTTGAAATTGGAACATTAAGGTACCACAAGACTTCTGGTCCTAGGTACTACATCAGGATCAATGTCATAAACGCGTTCAATGTCCGTACGTCCTTAGTGATAGACACATTATGACCACATCACACTGAATCACTGATGTGTTATCTAGCATAGGTCTTGAATCCCTCGTTCCCACGCTTCAGTCTGTTCACCTAAGGCTTCAAGAAGACAGGAATGTATATAAAAGGAAAGAACCGCCAACTTCGTTTTCAATTGTCCGTAACATATGCTACATCAACTGCACTCAGCGAGGCATTTCTGAGACTACAGCGAGACTTCACTACTACCTTTATCCATCACCAACCATCACAAACTCCAAGATGCAATTCAGCAACATATTTATGCACACTGCCATGTTCGCAGTCAGCGTAGGATATTCCCTTCCCTCATTCCAAATTTCCGTTTACTGACTTAAACCAGGCTTCTGCTCTCCCCAATCTAAACCAAGTCTCGGAACTTCAAGCCCCTATTGATGGCTACGACATCGTTGTCCCACAATGGGAGGTCCAGGCCGCCCCTGGAGGCGCGAAGTTGATTCTTTCCGGAACGGTCGAGCAGGTTCTTGCTGAGCTCCAGGTCATCAACTCCAATTACGCGGAGGACTTTGACCTCGACTTCGAGCTTCCCTCTCCTGCCGTTCACAAGCGCAACGACTTTGACAGCGCCGCTTTCGCGTGCAACGTCACCAAGGCTATGGCTGATCAGAGTATCATCGCCAAGGGTTCCAAGTACCTCAGAGGCGTCAAGGGAAAGCCTCACCACCCACCTGGTCCTAACACCTGCGCTCGTGTGAGCTGCAGCTGGAAGTCCGCGATTTGGTGGTGTAACCATGTAAGTACACTAGGAATGCCATCTTGACAAGGCTATTTTTAAGCTAACTTTCTGCAGGCACAGACTCCGCGTGAGCTTGACTCTTTCGGTGTGATTGCTGACGGTACGGATCATATCATTCAAGTCTGCAAGACCAACGGTGAGTGGATCGATGGTCAAACGTGGCATAAGGATAAGTGGAGTGTCATCGTTGGCCGCGCCGACTGCTAAGTCGAGTGAGCTAAAGTGTCTGTTGAGAGAATATGAGGTTCGGGAGTCCAGTGATAGAAGGAAAGGGATTGGGGGTAAATCTAGATCATACGCCAGCATGTCTATTAGCATCGCTCCTTTAGTTTAGAAACGTTCTACCAGTGATTGAAATCCTGGTTTCAGTCGTTGAAACTCTTTCATTCTCTCTTAAGATATGTGAACATGAACGAGCTATAATCTGGGAGCTCGGTTACTTCTAACCAAGGTAGTCCGCATCGTTCAACTTCCCCATGCACGGTCTCTGAAGCAGCTCGACCCAGCATCTCGAGAAAACAGTATGCTAGTTTTGACTAAGCTTCTGTCCCTGACCATACTTTCCTTTTCGAGGTAAAAGGCTGGTGCAGATTCTCTGGATGCTGGGATAAATATTTGCCCTAGTTCGGTGTCGTTGCACCGATCAAGTAATCCCGTGAAACCCCGGTTGGGCTCTAATGAGCCTCTGAGCCTCCATTTGGCATCGCTTGAATCGGCATTTGAACTTGGATCAGCAGCATTGACGTTCCAGACCTATGAAGACTCACAATGGCAGTGATTATGAGCTGCCAGGCCGAGTCGATGAAAAAAGACTGTCGTCATGAGGCTTCTAGCATGTAGTGCATGTCTCCCAATCCGGCAAGCGATTCGCTCAAGGAAGCCAAGGGCGAAGCTAGCTCACTCTGAGCGCCACCGGCTGTCACACCCGGGACTTTATCTCCTGACTTAGCGCGATTATTTCGGCGCCTACCGAGACGTTGGTGGGGATTTCATAGACGTCATTCACCTATGCATCCTCCCCAGATATTGAACAATTGGAATTGTGCGCCCGAGGTCCAGCTGCGGTATGGCTACGTTGGCTGCAGCAATGAGAGCTCTGACGCGGGGAAGGTTGAGGCAATCCGAGCGTCATCAGTTGTCCTCGTGAGTATATAAACAGAAGTAGAGTACAATTATCAACAAATTCAGTGCTATTTTGACTTGCAATCGAGGCAGCAAAGTTTAGAAACAGCAAGTCTAGTCATAACACCCGACAATACCCGTCAAAATGAGCTACCCAGAGAAGTTTACTGGCTTCTGCACCGCAGGGCCTAGCTCGTGGAACAAATTCACCAAAGAAACTCTCACGCCGAAACCCTTTGAAGATCACGACATTGATGTGCAGATCGAATGCTGCGGTGTCTGCGGGTCTGACGTCCACACTATCACCGGCGGCTGGGGCGAGTACGAGGGTCCCCTGTGCGTCGGCCACGAGGTATGTCTTGCTTCCCCTGATCCTAGTCTTGAAATGTGAGATTAATGGCCATCAAGGTTGTTGGCAAGGCTGTTGCTGTGGGGAAGAACGTGAAGGAGATCAAGGTGGGCGACAGAGTTGGTGTGGGTGCTCAGGTTTGGGCGTGCCTCAAGTGCGAGCAGTGCAAGAACCAGAATGAGAACTACTGCCCTCACTTGGTCGGTAAGTTTTACCTCTTGCAGCGGAGGTTGCGACCCAGTACTGACATGGTCTGGTAGACACATACAATGCCAAGTACGAGGATGGAAGCCAAGCACATGGCGGCTTTGCTAGTCACATTCGCGCTCACGAGTACTTCACCTTCAAGATTCCTGATGCGATAAAATCGGAGAATGCTGGCCCACTAATGTGCGCCGGTCTCACCACGTACTCACCTCTGGTACGGGGTGGTGTCGGCCCGGGGTCCGTCGTCGCCATTGTCGGTATCGGCGGACTCGGCCACCTCGGTCTCCAGTGGGCCAAGGCACTCGGAGCGGAAGTCTACGCCGTTACCCACTCGCCGGACAAGGCCGAAGACTGCAAGAAGTTGGGTGCCAAGGAAGTCATTGACACCAACAAGAAGGACTGGGCTAAGCCTTATGCTTTCAAGTTCGACTTCATGCTCAACTGCTCCGACATGACCAACGAGTTTGACCTTCAGACGTACCTGTCCACCCTTAAGGTCGGCGGTCATTTCCACATGGTCGGCTTGCCAGACAAGCCTTTGCCTCAGTTCCCCGCAGGCCTCTTCGCCAGCAATTCTGCCAAGATGTCCGGTAGCCACATCGGAAATAACCAGGAGATGAACGCTCTGTTGAAGTTGGCCGCCGAGAAGGGCATCTCACCTTGGGTTGAGACTATTGATATTTCGGAGGCAGGATGCAAGGAGGCTGTTGAGAGAGTGAAGGCGAACAAAGTTCACTACCGCTTTACCCTTGTCGGCCACCAGAAGGCCTTCGGTACTGCTTGAGACTTTAGAGGAAGAGAATATAGAACACGTGAATAGAATCATCATACGACACCTTGTTTGCTATCATTTGATTCGGACCTGCGCAGAAGTCGAACTGACTTGCCTTGACAATCTACTTGGCCAGAACAGAGGTGGAGGAAAGTCCCACTTGTTGGTGGGTGCACGTTGTCGAGTGAGATAGTGCTGACTTACCCCGCTCCCTAACTTGCTTATGCGGCTTGCTGATGACTCAATTGGTAACATACCTCGAGGTACTGCAGGGCGACTGATAGCAATAGTCGGAACCCTCGGTCTTGGGAATTGAATGGTAAGTTTGTAGGATTTCCTAGAGGATTTGACTGACGCTGACGTTCCGCCCATTTTGGATGGGGTCTAGATGCAAGGTAATGGGTCGGTGGGGTGAATATTCTGGCAAAATACTGGATCTCACAATAAAGCTGACTGCTGGCTGATGTGAGACAAGGTCGGGTTAGAGTTTGACCGCATCTGTGATATATGTACGCCAATTTCTTGAACCTTTCATTATTATCCTTGACTCTTATGCCTCAAAGACTTCGAGTGTAGTAGCCAACAGCCCAGCCGAGAGAGACATATCCTACACATCCAGCCCAGCGTAAACCATCCGCAATGGTGTCCGAAATTCACGTTATTTCCAAGCGCGACCTCTCCAAACATGAGACCGTTGCAGTTGATCTGCCGTTGCCGCAGCTAGGCGTCTCTTCTATCCGCGTCCGCACATCCCTCATCGGGATCACGAGCAACAATCTCTCGTATGCGAAGCTGGGCGACATGCTGCAATGGTGGAACACTTGGCCCTTACCTTTGGATGCGCCGGCACCGTACAACGACCGGGCCGAGTGGGGCATTGTTCCGGCGTGGGGCTTTGCGCGGGTGCTCGAGTCCAACATCAAGGCTATCCCGGCCAAGAGTCTGCTTTATGGGTACTGGCCCACCTCTTCGCATCCGGTCGACTTGTCCCTCATTCCGAGCGAACCAGAGGGTCATTTCCGCGAGGTCAGCGAACACAGGCAGGGACTTGGGAACATTTACAATCGCTACAATCTTGTCGACGAGTCTGCTCAGTCGGAAGAGTACCAGGCATGGTTTGCCAACGTCTCTCCTATCTGGAACTGCGGTTATGTCATGAATCGCTTCACTTTCGCTACGGAATTCAAGCCGGTTCATCCTCTCGGCGTGGGAGCCGGGGAATGGACCGAAAAGGATGCGGACCTGAGCTCAGCCGTTGTGGTCAGTCTCTCGGCATCCAGCCGTACCGGCAGGTCATTTTCGTGGAACTTGGCTAGAGACAGAAAGTCAGATGGTGGACCTTTGGCTCTCCTCCAAGCCACCTCTGCGCCAGATTCTTTGAAAGCCAACCCAAAGGCAGCGTTTGAGATCAAGACGGTCAACTACTCCGAGCTCGCCGCAAAAGACACGATTGACTGGATTGCCAAACTGCAACCCAAACGCGTGGTTGTAGCTGACTTTGGTGGCCGCCCGAAGGAGACAGAGGAGTTCCGCGAGGCCATCAAATCAACGCTCCCAGAATCAACTGTGTTCACCAACATCCAAGTCGGAGGAGAGCCAAAAATCATGGCACCAGAGGAGGCCCTCAAGTCGATGGCGATATTCAAGAAGTGGGGACTTGTTCAGCTCAACACGACTGGTATTGTTGACGCTGGGATTACTGTAGAGGGTGCAGGTAAATACTTCGATGGCGCTGAATCAACGTTCCGAAGGTTCCTCGAGGAGGAGAGCGTAGCAGACCTTGAGCTGATATGGGGAAGTGGTGTTGGAGGTACGAATGGCATTGAAAAAGCATGGGAAAACATCATCCAGGGAACTTTGTCGCCCCAAAAGGCATGGGTTTACAGATTAGAGTAGGGTGTTGTTTGCCAGCAATTAACACAAATAATAGTCCCGCTGGTAGCTAAGTCAGTAATCTCATGATAGTATTTGGGCAATGCACTTGGAAGCAGGGCCGGATGTTTAATGTACTCCGACGGCTGTGAATGCAAAACTCCGATACATTGACAAAATCAAGTACTATGAAGAGCCCCGGTGACTCTTAGTAGTGATGCAATAACGGAAGATATCCACCGTCTCTCTGCATCTTTCACCTTTGAACACTAATTCGAGGTGGTGGTTAAACTTCTGAGTCTCAGACGACTGTTTCAGACGAACCCTCCACGCAACTGAACCGAAAGCGAGGCGGAGGCTTAGCCCGGCATCACCATTCGTTGGAGCTGTTCGAGGACATTTCATATTGTTTTGCGGCTAGAATTTAGTGCCTGGCATGGTCACTATCTCAGTTAGACTCTTCAATTGGCACTTTCTAGTCTCCCCCATGGATTCCCTCGTTTGACTCCTTGATATTAAACTTGACCGGTCGTTTGGTACCTTATCACAAGACTATTCTGGGCTACCATACCCAAGCTATTTGATACAGTAGCAGACAGAGACCCCGCGATTCTGCCAAGTCCCTGAGCCAGGATGCCTGTTCAGGTTGACAGATATATGAGGATTTCGACTCCAGAAAGTGAACATACAAAGCGAGTGAACAGCTGCCATCCGAACACAAGGAACTCTTTTTGACCATCAGACATATGCTCATCCATTCCTTCCAAAGCCTTTCAACTTGCTTTCCTACTATTTCATCTCTGTTGCTCCCACACGTCCTCAAGTATTTGTCTTACTCATAAAGCCAAAGCCATGAAGTCTCTCGCCGTTCTTGCAGCACTCATCGCCGTCATATCGGCTGCTGTACCACACTCGGTAAGCCTTCATAATCAGAATAGTCAACATTTCGTGTCTAACTAACACATTTCAGGTGGATGGTAATGCAGGTGATCTGTTCAAACGTCAAGATAACTGCAGAACCGCTGATAGTAAGTCTTCAAGTTACATACTTAGGTGGCTGCTCTCGTTTCCCAGGCAGTTTTCTGACCAGTGTAGACTTCTGCAACGACAACGATCCCTTCTTCACGAGATGCTGCGATGGTCTGAAATGTGTTGTTGAGAACGATCCATCAATCGGCAGAACGAAGGTGTGCCGGTAGAAAGAACTTGGTCTTGACACCAGGGTTCCCACTGCCAAGTGCGATGAGAAAGAATAGGGTGCATATTGAAGGCATGGCGGTCCCCATCTGGGTACGGGACAATCGAAGTGGTAAATGAACTGTGCTGTTTGGCTAATCGCTCCGAGCTTGTATTGACTGGCAATCATTCGTGAAGAAACACATGGATGCTTGATTTAACTCCGGCTCTTAGTTATATAGGTTATCATCTTAAAAGCACAATGCCCATCTCAGAAAGACTCAGAACGTTTTCGCGTGCTCCTCGATCGGTACAAGATCCCCTCTTCCCTTGAAGTTTTCGACAATATCTGCCTGCTCAGACAACATGAACCTATCTGTCTGGTTTCCGAATCTCGAGAGAACTCTCCATCTCGCAAAGTCTCCCGGGTTACGCTTATCACCATGCGCCGCCTGAGGGTTCTCCCAGTGCCCTCTCGAGAATGAGATGAGCGTCGAAATCTTCTGCTTGGGGATGTCGTACACCAAGGAGCACACCGTTCCTGTCTCCTCCAACCAGTTTACCTGCCACAACTCGCCGGGCCGGATGCACTGATAAGTCGCCGTCTGGTAGTTTATGCGGCCGTTCATGGGCCCACCGTGGATGGCATAGACAACACGGTCCTCGGAGAAGAACCACATTTCGTATCTCCACTTTTCCGGGTTGCCCTCTGCGTCTTCGGCGTCATAATCATAGATGAGATGCGTATCCCGAATATCTTTATCGAACGTTGAATCAAGTGGTGTATTTGTCTGGAAGCGGGGAAGGGCCTTCTCGGGCGCTCTGTTTGAGAGAAACATGACTCGTGCTTGTGAGAGAGATGACGTTGAATTGGTGAAGATGTAGTTCGTGGAGAGTAATGAGTTCCGATGGGAAAAGGTGAGCTAGAAAAAGTCTATAATATCTACTTGTTCAATGTCCGAAGCAACGACTGGAAAAGAGGTAGTAGTCCGAATTGATGTTTTATGTTGCGGATGTCCGTGGAGAAGGGGTTGTTCGTGGTGTGACGGATGTGGTCTGCCTCGGCGGGTCTGTGTGGTGACATGTTTGACTCTTAGAAGGCCATTACATCATAAGCCGAACTTTCCGGCTTCGTCAAGCTCTTGCACCAAGAAAAGCTAAGACAAAGCTAATTGCGTTCCACGAGGCGCTAAATCCGGCTCTCTTGAATCAGGTTCCTGGCTCATTGTGAAAGTGAGTTGCGGGCTCAACTTTAGGCTTGGCAATTGCATATATTGCGCGCTCTACATTAAACGAAAATCCTCTCCCGCCAACTCCTCCTCAGTTAACCCATCAAGTGCTTCACCGTCCATCTGTCCCAACACAAACGCTTCTCCTACAAGCTCATAGTACGATGGCTGTTCTCCGCGCCCTCTCTCACTCCAAAAGGGACGAAGAACACAGGGCACAGAGCATCCGTACAGGATGCACACGACATCGTCGACTTTAGAATCCTGAGGAGCTATGCCGACCAATTTCCGATTGTTCTTATCTTCAGGGGCAGCCTCGCATTCGATATACTTCCTGTTCCAACAGACAGCTTGCACTCTTTTTAGATAGTCTGCTTTGAGGTTCGTCGCAGCTTCATCTTGTTGGAGGATTGCATTCGTGTCAATATTCCCGGCCCCGGTGTCAGACACAAGACAGGTCATACAAGCTCTGTGGTACCAAGCCGGTGGCGCCTTTCCATCCGCATCCCGATCTGCCACGAGCGTTCTCCAGACAGTGTCTGCGACGCCTTGTAGCTCCGTTCTCGGATCATGCCCTAAGCTCCGCAGAACTTGCCTTGGAATAATACCTTCGTACATTGGATGAGTATCCGAGACGACTCCAATGCACAGCCCTCTAATAGTGATCGTGAGGTTCATGTCTGATGTTATTCGTCTCGCGCGGAGGACCTTTCGACCAGCCACGGGTCGTTGTCGGGACGGCGCAATGGAATCAGTTTTATCATGCTCCTCGCCAGTATTCTCATCTGAAGGTTGGTCAGGCTGCTTCGGGAGTGCATTGTCTCTGCCGAAGGAGATTGTTGGTGGAAGCCCATGAGAAGCGTTGTAGCAACGGGCCTCCGGCACACCCACAAAACTATCTCCTGTTCTTCGTCCGCCGAAGCCTTCGGTTTGCGAGCCGTAAGCAGATTCGTGTACTGTTTTGATCCATGATGGAAGCTCCACGAGCCTTGGGTAATGCTCATCCAAAACCTGCTTGAGCTCAGGGAGCGCCCAGTGACGGCAAAGAATATCCAGGGAGCCGCTATCCTCTATGCACCATTTGATAAAGTTAGTGTACACTTGGAGCAAGTCAATGCTGTAGTCTGGTTCGGGCGGAGGGTTTCCCTCTTGCATGCTTTGTCGACGTTGTTGCACACTGTTGCTTGATGGCAGTTTACATGTCTCCTTGGCAAGGTTGAGGAGCGTGTATATAGTGTCTCTAGGATCGGACGTTTCGAATGTAGACAATGATGAGATGAGACTCTCGAGTCCTTGCCGGGGAGCATATATATTTCCGTCGACCTGTCGTTGGAATGTGTTGGATAGAACGTCGACCAAGATCCGGGCACCAAGTGGCTTCATATCCTTAATTCCTTCCAGCGACTTCTCTAATTTCGGGTCTCGCTTGATGTCTTTGAGGATGCTGTCGAATCGGAGTGCGAAAATGCTAACAGCATCTGAAAAGTCCCTCCAATTGACCTTCTTTGAGCCGCAGCGCACCTCGGCACTCTTTGCCAAAGCAAGTTCTTGAATGATCCATCGCCGAGAGAACCATCGACGCCGCATGAGATGCAGAAGCTCCGACCAATTTGTTGCGTACCTTTCTTTGAACTTCTCTCCCGTGTCGTCTTGGAGTATGAAGCTGATGAAGTCCATTGCTCTGTCAGTCTTGCCGTGCTCGTCTGCTGGGCCTAGCCAAATGGCGACATTGGCTGCGGTTGAGTATATTTGACCCATGATCGCGACCTGGTCCTGCTTCTCCTTGTTGTCTTTTTGATTGATGCAGATACGGTCTACCCAGATGGCCACCTCTTTGTCCGGCTGTCGGAATTCCTGGAGAAAAGCGTATAAATTTGGTTTCACGCTTAATCGCTTCATTTTTCGGTTGAACTGAGTCGCGACTTCTGAAAAGTCGTGCATTACCGGTACACTTGGCGGTTCGTTATCCTGAAGCATATCGACGAGAACGATCTTGTTCTCGTCTCCGCTGCCCCAGTTGTATGAAAGAGCTGTGAACTTGAAATCCTCGGGGTTTTCCACGATCTCTTGGATTGGGAATGACTTCAACTCGATAATGACTTCTGCAAATCGGTTGGGATTCCGTTTAAGTAACATGAGACGAATCTCACCCTGCTCTATCGGGCAATCTTTGTAGTCGTATCGCTTCTCGTATAAGTTGGCTGCCCTGAGTAGCTGCTGCCCCTTCGTCAACTGGTCTTTCCGTGTGTGCGGGCCGTCAATGAACCCTGTTTGTTGTCTTTTTGCTGGAGTGGCAGGCGTGGGCTCCACTGTCCCAAAGCCTCGTTTCCTGGATGCGCTGGTGCCATTCGGAAGCTTTCCAGCAGAGGCGATTTGCCTTTGTTCGTTGTGGTATTGCATGGCTTCTTCTCGTAAAGAACCTGCCTCGGACATCGGCTCTGGGGACTCGAATCGTTCGAGCGACATTTCCTGTATGCCTCGGAGCGCTCGAGGATATATGTACGTGAGAAATTTGATTTTCCTTTTGGGAAATCAAGGCTGAATGTTGGACGAGGTAAACCCCGATCACAACAAAGTCGAATTATGAGTGGGCGGTAGAGCGCTGCAGCCAGAGTGGAATGCCGGAAAAAGTGTACAAAGCACTTGAGTGGCCAGGAGGGCGGAGTAAAACGAGGCACCGCTCTTGATATAAGAGAGTCAGAGGGGCTGGGGTCTCAGAATCTACGCCTTCTGCTGGCCAATTTTTATCTTGCGCACGCGATGATTCAGCGCATTATGCTGGCAGCATTGCAGATACCGGGCTATGAAGGCCTTGCATGTAGCTGAAAGATTTCTCACACACATGGCATGGGGTGGTCGATAGTTGGAAGCCGATGTGGCAAGTGGCAGTGTGCCATTAGGACTCAGAGTCCGAGAAGTCTATCCAATGAGTCTTTCAAAAGGCAGGGAATCAATTTCCAGATTTAGTGCCTCAACGCCATTGAGGTGGGCGCTTTGCAAGGTAGACTGATCCTGGAATGCCAGCCTGCTTCCACATCGGCAATCATTATCTCTTTCCCTATCGTCTAGACATCTCAAAGAAGACAGGGCAGAATTGGAGGTCAGCCGGGGTTTTTCCACTTCACATGCAAGAGTACCAGCTGTACAGTCAGGTTTCAAGTCTTCTGATCACCCAGGAATACCCGTTTTGTTTCTTGGTAAACATGCTTATCGTTAGCCACGCTGCATCCCGTCTCACTCTACATGTACCTTCGCCCCCCGTTTAACTAAGGGGAATATTGCTTTTACCGCCGACGCACCCTGGACAAGGACTCTCCGTCTTCTCGTAAGGTCTTGCATGGCCAATACGGCATGCAGGTGATGAAGTGCAGCTTGTTGGATGTTGGTACATGTATTTTCATGTTGGATGGTGAGCTTGGCTCGTCATAGGTCTGCCTGCTCCTCTGTGTAACATTGAACCACAGGTCCACAGCCTCCCAGGGTAGAAGCGAACCGCCACGCGGGCTTCCAGCTGGGCTTCCACCGGTGTGCTATCCAAATTGAGCCACCCATGAACGGTCCCCTCCTCAGCTTTCTCGGGAAACTGTGCTGCAATCACTATGGAAGTCCTCCGTCAAGCATAAACAGCTCTATTGCCTATCACCAAGTTGACAAAGTTGCTGCTATTTACTTGCTTGATTTTACCACAGTCGAGAACTTGCTTTTGAAGTCCTGATCATTCGATGCTTTTCAAATGGACCCCTTAAGTATCAGTATGGGCGTTCTGGCCGCGCTGCAGGTTGCTTCCTCAATCCTTGCATTCTGTTACGACGTGCGATCAGGGGTGAAGAGGATTCCTTGGTCGTTGATACAGATAATTGAGGAAGTCCGCGATGTTCGAAACCTCATCGAAGCAGTTCAGTCAGTCCTCGATCAGGGAAACTTAGTTGAATTCCCAGTGCCGGACTACGGCGATACTTCACTCGAGCTATCCGCGAAAATAAAGCCTGCGCTTGCAACTTGCTTATCTCAACTCCAGGCCCTCGAAGCTCGAATTAAGCCCGATCTGATTCCCAATCTCTTGGACTCAAAGACAAAGGCTTTAGTGAACTCGATATCGTGGAAGCTAAAGCTCAACGACACGAAAGAGTCCATTGCCAATTTGCAGCGCTGCAAAGAAGGCTTGCAACTAGCCATAACTTCTCACAACGCGTCAGTTTAAGCTTTCGCCCAAATTCATGAGATTGTTCCTGACCACGTTCCGATGATTTAGAGTGACACTGCGCAATGTTGAGCGACTCACCATTTCGCTTGACTACAAGATGAATGACTCTCGGGAGCAGCTTGAACGTATAGATAGCAATCTGAGCACAGCAATACTAGGTACAAGTGAACAGGTTAGATAGAGGCGGCATTCTATCATGTATTCTGACAACTTGCAGACGAGCAACAGAAGGCAGTGGTTGACTGGCTTTCTCCCCTAAGACCGGGCCAAGCTCACGAAAGAGCTCTCAAGTCCCACCAAAATGGAACTTCGGGTTGGTTTCTCGCTGGTCAAGAGTTTCAGGAGTGGTTGAAAGGCGACGTCAACCTACTGTGGCTGACTGGACCCCGTGAGTATGACCTTCTAT